TTTCAGAATATTTCAGAATATTTCAGAATATTTAAGGTTGGAAGGGACCTCTAGAGATCATCTAGTCCAACCTTCCTGCTCAAGCAGGGTTGGACTCGATGACCTCTGAGGTCCCTTCCAACYTTGGGCATTCTRTGATTCTGTGATTCTATGTAGTTYGCCTGCACTGGCAGAGCTAATAAAGCTTATTGCGTGTATGGKAGATGCTCTATACACAGTGCTGTGAAGAAATGCTGGAAGTTTTCATGACAAAGCCATATAAAGCTGGAAATTGGGAGAAGCTGGTTCGCGGTATCCACTAGGGAAGGACAGATGAATTGCAAAGGCACTAGCGATCCTGCAGTGTTAAAAAGGCACTTGCAGCCCTGCTGCTGCAGATGCTGCTGCTCATTTCCTGGGTTGCTGGAGAATTGCTGCAGTGCTTAGCCAGACACAGGAATACGATGTTTTTAACAAGAGCCCTATGCAAAACATTACAGTTTAAAAAGTTGTTGAATTTTTTTTTACAGCATTAGAAATCCCACGCATGTTTTAACCTTGTCTTTTCTTTCCAAGGAGGAAATCCGGTTCCGGGTGATTGCTGCGTGTGTGAAATTCAAGCAATAAGGGTGTTATTCAGCACTTCTTTTACTAGAGGGCAGCAGAGCCTCAGAGTTAGTGAATTCATTGGMAATCATTTAGGTTTAATTTTACTGAGCTTTTAGGGGAGGGTTGATAGCATCTGTAAGAGAATACATTTGTGTAGCCTAAGTATCTGTGTAAGGTATCCTGTGTAGGACTGCTTGCTAGCCAGTTTGAGGGGAGAGGGCAGTGCCAGCACCCTTACTGGATCRGCTGGAAGATGGGATTCCCAGGCAGCCAGTATAAACTTTTTGTCCCCGCTTGTCATGCATTGCAGGGATGGCCCTTGCTTAGATACCCTTCCCAAAGACTCCTGCCCTGCCATCTCCGACAGCTGAGCTGCAGCTTCTGGATGTACATTTTGTAACTTGTGACATGGACAGTAATGAGAATTGTCAACATCACCAGGAATATTATTGATTTATCCATTAAGACGTTGGGAGAAGGTTTACAGTTTGTCACTGAGGTGCTGACAGATGAAACTAAGGCTTTTCAAAACCTGATTTAATAGCTCTCCAGCTGAGTTAATCTGAGTTCAGTCTCTAGCCTTCAAAATGTTGCCCAAACTGTTTATTTGCTATTGCAAATAGACCCCATTGCTCTAACAGTAGCATTTTGATTTCACTGGGAAAGCTCACAGGATTGGAGGTAGGAATGTATTCTGAAAAAATGTTTTTCCTAGCAGAAGACTCCCGTATTGATAAAAGATCTAGAAAAAGGCTTTGTTAGAAGTTGTTGAAACAGTTTAATCAATTCCCCAGAATCTTAACAGCTGTTCCCCTCTGAATGTGTTTTTTAGCCCACATCAAGAGAAAAATATTTTTCAAAATCCTTTGCCGCAATACAAGATTTAAAATTTGTTCTAAATCCTTTATTATTCTATATGCGTGTATTCCAGGGTTAATCACATCTCCCAGAATTGCCTGAAGCCTGCAGGTTTGGGCGAGGAGCAGATGTTTGGCCATATAAGTTGTCCTGTCCTGTTTTTTGGGGGGGAGAATGGCAATTTTCACCTACAATGTCCCTGAAAATTGCTTGCTATATGTCTGCCACTGGGGGAAACAGCAAGAGTCAGCAGACCCGAAGTGCACAGGACTAACTTTTCCCATGGAAAGAACAAAACAAAACAAAGCAAAGCAAAGCAAAGCCAAGCAAAATGAAACACCTTCACGATCAGGTGTCTCTGCATCAGAGGGCTCCTTGCCCACTCCCTTCCCGTGGTGCCTGTGGGGCAAAGATGCCCTGTAGTTAATGTAATTAACTCCATTTGATTAATGCCCCGCCAGGGTGGGCCGCGCTGTGTGGTGGGGCCTCGCTCCTCACCCTCSCTTCCCTCCTCGGCAATGCCCCGTGGTTGGACGCCGTTTCCTTGCGCAGTCTGAATATGGGCTCATAACCACATCTCATAATGTCCTAGGGGTCCTTTTCCCAAAGGCAAATATTTCTAACATGGGCTTTGAAGGACCGCATGTGAAAATGCTGCCTAATAAAGGCTATCCCCATGTAAAAGGRCACATATCTTACACTACCAAATTCTTACACAGCACTTCATAGGTCGGTCTCAAAGTACATTAATTATAAAAGTGGTCACTGGCTTTGGTTCTGTTTTATAGGCCACAGCAACACCGGGAATTGAAGCCATTACGTTTTGGGCCCAGTGCCTCCCCTTCCTAGGCCCCACAGCTTCAGATATTCACGAATGTTCCCTGTTGTTAGCCAGGCACCCATAATCTATCAGTCTTATACATTTTGCAGGTTTACTGCATGTAACACCAGAAGTCCAGGCCTGAGCTGTCAGGAACCTCAAGAAATTTAACAGTGACCAACTCAGAGTCCTGGCCCAGGAAGGACTGATCCTGCACACTCATCCTGGCGGGCAGCAGCCCTGCAGAAGGGCCTGGAGGACAGCAAGCTGAAAAGGGTGATCCTGCGGGAGGCTCACGCTGTTTGACAGCTGGAGGAAGTTGCGTTTGTTTTTTCCTGTCTGAATAAAAACACACACACCCTCAAAACCGAGGTGGCTGCAGATTTCCCTTCTTGGAATACCACATATAAACGGAATTTATACTGATACTTTCTAAAACAGTCATTCCACATTGTCCCTGTTCATTAAGACAGTGCTTACTGGATTGGTTTGATGAGTCTGTGTCATTTTCAATACTTCCTTGTGGACTGCTATCACTGTCAAAGCCGCCCAAACCCATAAAGGCTTTTCCTGGCCAAACCAAACAGAGTCACAGAAGTCCCATCTCTCTCTCAGCAGGTACCGTGTTTCTGGCTGCTGAGTGTGTTAACCAGCTCAGTAAATGAACGTTACAACATAGCTCTTGTTATCAGGTGTTGAGAAAACATCAGAGTACAGCAGGCTCGGAAAGTACTCTGTGATGCTAGAGACATTTTCCACACTGTAGGACTTCAGCAAAGAATATCCATTGAAAAGAGAGGTATCCAGAAAGGAAATATATACAAACATTTGCCTGTCTTTGTTGTGCACTGCAAACGGGTCCCCTTTCTCACCGTTGCTGCTACTATAGATGGTTACGCTCTGCTCTGGAAACTCTCCCTTGATCTTGTTTTTCACCCGGAGCTTTCGCAGGCCCCAGATGGTCAAATATTCGGTCGGGAGCGGAGCGGTGCCGCAGAAGGAGAGCTTCAAATCACACACGCTCGTGAAGTTAAGGAGCATCTCCAGCACAGAGGTGTCCGTGAACCAAATGGTCAGGTCGCTGTTGTAGCGTGTTTTCTCCATGGTGGAAGGCAGCACCGTTCTGCAGTTGCACATCAGGTTGGCCAGGCTGTAGTCGCAGTCCCGGATATCTGCCAAGCAGCTGCAGTTGCGAATTGTGCTTTCCCTGGTGAAAATCAGCGTGTGGTTCTTYGGACTTCTCACAAACCCGTTAGTAAAGCACAAGCCAAGGAAGCCAGCCAAAAAGAGAACCAGCCAAAAAGAGAAAGTATGTAAGGGTACTGGCTTCATTAGTGCAGGTGCCAAGCTGCCAGGCATCGTCGTCTTTTACATGTGAGTTGTATCGTTTGTCCTTACCTGGTAAGGAAAAACAATCATTATACTAAGGACCACCCAGTGATTAATACAGTTTCACTGCTTCCACTCATCTTCTGTCTCACCTATTTAGACTTGCATTGCAGGTGTGCAGACTACCCTGCATTACAGGAGAAGCAGCCCTGCACTGACCCAGAAAAATTAATTATTACTCACGTTTGGGATTCTTCTTTTACTCCCCACTTGCTCTATATTGGCTTGGACAGGCTCCTCTCTATCCAGGCAGCTCCACAGCCTGCCTGGCATGACGGGCAGGACTCCACTTGCTTTTGTTTTTTTCCTCCTTTCTCTTCTCTCTCGATTTGCTTCCTGATGGACAGGGGTTACGAGTGACTGTGATGGGGTATGCTAACAACCTGTTGCATTTACAGCCTGCTTTTCATCCATATGAAGCTACACCTGACCCTTTCTCAGCCTGTATGGTACACCTGGACCATCTCTCACTGTGTTCCTGTGCAGCAGAGCTGTGTCTCTGTGCAGRCTGCTGACAACAGAGCGAATTTCCAACCCTTGCACACTCCACCTAGGTCAAGAGATGGGGAGAAGATKTGGCAGGGGCTCTTGGGCTCTCATYTGCCACCCTCTGACTTTCAGAGCAGAGGTAGATCTCGCCATAAGTCTTTGGGATTCTCCTGGCCGGTTAGTAAATGATGGAACAAGCAGAGATGAACAGTCTAACTTCTCAACACTGATTAAAAGATGCTGGAAATTTTGTCTAATAAGACTGTAATTATTGTAATGCACCAAGACACGTTAGAGCTGAATTTTGCCCCAGGGTAGCAGGTGTCAGTGAAGGCAACAATAAAACATGCGGGGAAGGGCAGAATTTAGACCTTAGGATGTGAAAAGATTGTTCCATCCCCAGAATATGTGTCCAGCACTTCAAAAATATGTCAGTCCTACTATAGGTTTGTAGAAACACAGCGAATAAACTGGAAAATAATATTCTTTGTAATAAGTGTAAACTGGTTTAGGTTATTGTTTAGTCTTCCACCATTTGACAGTGGAATGATCTGCTGCAACCTGCTTGGTCATTTAAAGGATACTCAAGCCACAGGGCAAAACAAAATCAAACCAAGTAACCGACCACAGTAACATACCTGCACATGGTGGGAAAAATCCACATATACGTAATGGTGGACCCTGGGTTGGGGGCATTACCTGCTGGTCCTTTCCAGGAGCGAGATCTTTAGCTTATGATAGACAGTTTCATGAAAACATAAGCTCAGTGCTCAGCCGCAGTCAGAAAGGGAATCCAGAGCACAGAGATCACACCTGGCTACAGAAGGTCCCGCACTGAAAACAATTGGAGGCTGAGAAATTTATAGGAGGAAGTATCACATATTCTTGCCCTGTTCTTGTTCTATCCATAGGCAGCTTCTTATGGCTGCAGCTGGAGACAGGATAGTTGGCTAGATGGATTTTTGGTTTGCCAAATTATGGTTATTCTTCTATAAGACTTTTGTACGGTAGAGGAAAGCAAGTTGATTGTAATGCAGTTTAATTCTGTGATTTAGCTCTGTGGATACTCCCTGAATTTAGCAAGGCAGGAAAATAAGTCATTTTCTTGAATGGAAGATATAACATTTTCAAGTTAAAATCGAATACTTGATCCATGTTCCACACACTTACTGGTATGTGGAACATACCAGAAATACCAACCACACTCTTAGCTAATGTTTAACATCAAAGGTCAGGCTTATCCAAGCTGTTACTGCTCTGGCATCGGTCCTGTTAGATGAATTTGGTCTCAAGTATCTAAGCATCTAATCATGCATCACAATGAAAATCCTATTACAAACATTTACACTGTTTATTTTCTCATCTCTGAAGATCAGAGGAACATCAAGTAAAAATCACAAACTTCCAGCAGAAAGGAGGAGCTGGAGTTCACCCGAGTAAGATGTGGGGAGAAGAAAGAGGATTAAGGAAGTGTGGTCTGAAAAAAAGGCCTGAATTTAAGCACCTGGAGGATAACAAGACTTGTTATCATGGAGGAAAATATCTGAGGTGATCTAAGCTTACATCTCTTTGCATAGCATAGCAGGTATAGCAGTCCTGGAAAAGCGAATTTGTATAAGCATTTTCCAGCTTTCCATTTTGTCCTAGAAGACTAATGAATCCAAGAAACTAGTATGCCTCATATTTCAAATCTGAACTTGAGAAATGATGTGARTGCTCTTCCCTCACAGGTCCACCAACCTGCTTTTACATAGCTGGTCTGGCACCAAGCATAACTTCTGCCTGAAGGAATTAAAATGATCGTTTCGTATTAGGATGCCAGAAATGATTGAACTTGCTTATTAATTATTTTAGTGAATTGAGAGATTATTACATTTTGATCAAAATGCAGAATGGCTCTGGAGCTCACGTATGGTAGGCTCTATAGGACTCCCTTGCCACTGCTAAAGGTTTAATTTAAACTTGTGAATAAAACATCCTAGAACTGTACCAGACTGCAGATGCCCTCCAGCAGGCTCCAGCTCCTCCAATGCAATAATTTGTGCCGAGCAGATGAACCTATCTTGGTATTACAACCAACAGTCCCTCAAACAAGCATGTTTCAAATGATGTATAGGTGGGATACAGCAACAAGCTCTTCACCCAGCTAAACTGCTACTTTTCCTAAGTAAGTCTCACGCAGTCATTTGACTGTTTCAGCACTCTGAAAATATGTAGTGTAGTTGCAGTGTTTYCTTTCATCTGTTACTGATTGGTTTCTTTCAGAGGTGCAACCTTCATCAAAGCTACCTGCTAAGTAGCAAAATTGCATAAGAGAAAGTCTCATTTCCTCCCCATCCTTACCTAGTCTCTTTTTGGAAAATACATTTCCAAGCAGAGAACAGAGAAGGCAAGTAAAGCTGGCAGATAAACTGCTGCTGATTCATGTCCCCCATGCCACCTTGCTGTCCAGCATCAATGAGGAAAGCAGTCAGCGCTGGAGAATGAAGTGAGAAATTAAATCAGACTGCGAGGGTCCATGCTTTGCATTGAAATTGGACTGCAGGGTGGCAGAGGAGTTTCCATTTGCTTCTTTTTCTCTTACAACACTCAGCCAGGGCCACCAGGCAGTGCTGGAGCACCACTCCTTTGGGGAAATTCCTGGTCAGGTTCTCCTCCAAAGTGCAGGCAGTGCTTACCTGTGGTAACCTGCCAAGCACCACTTTAAAAGACCCAGAGGGTTYTGAAGTGTGGGCTTCAGTTTCTGTGAATGACACAGACACTATCTGCTGGAAACAGAAAAAAATGACAAGATTCGGCTGCTACCAGCAGCAGTACTGATAGAGATTCTGCCACCTCAGGTGCTTCCCAGGAAAAGGGTGGCTAGAAGYGGTGCATGCTGAAGATCAAGAGATTCTTATCTGAAGACAAAATCACCAAGACTTGCTCATAATTCCATAATGAAGCATATCCAGGAGTTAGTAAAATGGGACAGGCTGTCCTCCACAAGCAATGCCTCAGATTTTGGAGTGACATGACTTAGTCTGGATTTTTTTCTAAGCTTCTTCCAGTACCGTTACTAACAGCTCCRTCTGGCCTCAGAAAACCTGGATATTTGATTTTTTTTTTTTCCCTGTGGAAATACCATCTTTCTCTTAGAATCTTAGAGGTCTATGGGAGTGGAAATATGGCCGTGGATTTGCTCAATGGAATGAGATGTAAAACATCTCAAAAATGCCTCCTGACTGCTTTTTTTTTTTCCCCACAGACTGAGCTGTAACTCTGTGCATTATGCACTGCGGTTTAGGGTCTGTAAACAATAAATCCTCTATCACACTGTGCACTTCTGCCATTCGCAAGAAGCACTCGGCTGCTGGCAGCCAACAGCTGCTGCTGCCTCTGCCCAAGAAGGTGCCTTGGGCATGGACAGGATCATTTGTAATCTGGTCTTGACGTTGCGCTAGCTAAGGGGTCATCTCCCTAATATTAAGAGAAGAAATGTCCACAAGGATGATGCAAATGTCTCCAGGGTCAGTCCTGACATGGCCACACCCTGACCATGACTAAGCTGCTCTCCATTTCTCCCAATCTGTCCAATTTCTGCTTAGGAGGAAAGCAGAGCCAGGGAGGTAACGCACGGTGCACCTGCCCCAGGGCACAGCCTCAGCCTGTGGGAGGGGGGCAACATTTCCACAATCCCAGAAATGTATACAGAAATACTCCTTATTTTTAGCTACAATTTCCAGCAGCAGCAGAAGGTGGGATATACAGGGTACCCACAAACTACATAAAATACCTTTCAAATTGCACTCCCTATAACCAAATACTCATGGCACCAAAGCACTGGTGGCCATGAGGTGGCAACAGCGGCGGCCTCGCYGATGGCATGAGGAGGTAGCAGGGACCGGGGGCAGCTGTAGAGAGAGGAGCGGGAGAGATGGTGATGAGGAGCCGTGGGAGAGGGGGTTGCAGCCTGAAGTAGGGAGGGAGACAGGAAGGAGAAGGAAACAACAGGCAGACTTGCTCAAAAAATCAGGAGACTAATAAAGCAGAGTAGAACATGGAGAAAAAATGCAGAACTGCAAGTCTGAGGCATTCCTTGTTGTTAGCTTTAAAAACAGCTCTTGGTAGAAAGCAGACAAAGAGGTGCAAGAAACAGTGTTTCTCTAGAAGAGCTGCCCATTCTGCATCTGCTTTGATCCCCGATTTGTGCAATTCCTGTCCAGTTCAGTCCTTGTTGTTCAGCAATGGGGTATCCTCTGCCCTGCAGAAGAAAGCAGGGAAGCTGCATTTTCTACTACAGAACTTGCTGCTCCAGCAGCAAATAGAAATCATAATTATTTGGAGGGAATTTCACTTGCATAAGGTGGCAGTAAACACCTCAGATCTCAAATCAGCAAACTGTCCTGAGCAAGGGGGGCTCTGAAATAAAAATCACATCAGTTGTAAGTACTAGTTGAAAATGATTCAGGCTTTATTGCTTCAGCCAAGCATGGTTTTAGCTATGTACCCTCTTTTCAGCACTGAAGTCCTCATTTTATTACATTTTATCCCAGAAGGTTTTCTAGCACATTTCTAAACTGGTCCTTTTTCTTCCCAAGTTTTAGTAGCTAGAAGAGATTTTCATCACTTGTTTATTAATGGTGTCATTTCAGGTGTCTGAATTGCTTTGATCCTTCCAGCAATTTTCCTGCTAATTGCAGATCTGCTGTATATTAAGCAAATTGCRAAAAAAGCAATAAAAAGCCTTTGGCCGTTACGTGAGAGTGCTACTGTCTCAAGG